CACAGACACCCCTTTTGAGCACAAAGCTGCCATCCCTATTGGGTTGAGACCACAACTCAGCGTCATTTTCCGCAGGCTTGGGTAGGAGACCACATCGCTTGTTCCTATACAGCAAAGAGAATTTATGGACAAAACGACCAGCACTTAATTGTCAGCCGTATAGTGCGAAGCCTGAAAGAGCAGGCGCCAAAGCGCGCGCAAGCACAGCCGCGTGCAAGGTTATAGGAAAAAACCCTAAACCCTAAACTTGTTCTTTCATGGTGACTTGCGCTTTGACTTGCGGCGGTGCCACTGGCACTTTGGACGCTTTCAGATTACGCAGGCGGCTTCAAGGCCCCATAGATTCTCCCAGAAAAAAGTGGGGGAAAGTGAGGGCCTGGACATTCTCGCAAGATCATGTTCATGTCGGGTGTAGGGCTTAGGGTTTAGGGTTTAGGGTTCAGGGTTTAGGGTTTAGGATTGAGGGTCGAGGATTTTTGCCGCTTCTTGTCCTTTGTTGCGCCAAGTGCCGGAGTACGCAAGCACTCGACAACAACGATGGTTCCTAGTGGGTCCTACAGTAATGATTCTATTCAAATGAAGGACGTGCACTATGAGTCCATTGACACACCAGAAGGGCGAATTGATACACAGCCACCCAAAACCTGGGCTTTAAATTTGTTCCCTCGGCCATTGTAGACCGGTTAAACCAGGGCATCGAATCACTGAATGAAGCTTGGGATAGGCCTACTAGAATGCCATCCCGATATTTTTTTAGTCCATCGCGTGGGCATTTCTCCACACCCAACGTCCGCCCGATTTTTGCGGACACCCCACCCAAAACACAGGCAGGAGTCGACACCTTGAAACCTGGCTCTTCATGGTCTTTTGCTGCTGACTACGGCAACCCTCGGTGCGACCATCGTTGCGGGAAAAGTGCACAAGCCTCGAGCGAGAGCGCAAAATGTTAAGGCAAAAGCACACGAGCACCCCTTTTTTTCAATATGGAAAGGTGTTGGAAATCAGGATGTGCTCATAGGCAGGCATGTTGTCATGCAGGTTTGGCAAGGAAAAGCCTAGATCACAGATTCCAAAATCCTGTGATCGCGTGGTTATTCCATGAGATCCAGCCCGTGCTCGTGCCCTCGCTCGAGGCTTGTGCACATTTCTTGACCCAAACGCTGCGATCGTGCGGTTTTGCGAAAGACCCGAAGCCCCACGCCCCGTCTTTGAAAAGGACTTGACCTCACACATACCGCTTTTGATAGTTTCATCCTGGTGCCTTTTTCCAGGCAAGTCCACAACGGCATGATTCCTCAGGCCCGAGTATTGGTCATGGACGCCTTTGAAGGCACAGACCTATTTGTCGGTGCACCATCCCATCAGATCATCAAGGTGTTGGACTCATCTTTTTTTTGGTAGTTTTTCCATTCGCTTTTCAGTAGCATTTAGGGTCGAAACAACGTTCATGTTGGACGGCTTCGGACGATAACAAGCATGATAGGAGTTTTAAGCCCAGGTGCACGAGTAGGTATGCCCACCCCAAACTGGCCCCAAACTCTCCTTAGTCCTTTTCCCTTTCCTGGCAGCGTTGTCATCCAAAGTTTGACATCGTGACAACAATGCTAGAATTAGGTTTTCGATCGAAAGGCTGTTGACAAAAGGTTAAAGTGAGCTGTACAGTTATACAGCCTGCCCCAAAAGTCTGAAAGCTACACGGCGTCCCATTGTTGCAGCCTTTGCTGTGGCTCGGCTTTCCATGCTCTAGAGCGATTCTAGTTCCAGGGAGTGATCGACCCTTCGACACGTGGATGGAGGCCCTGGACTTTTTTGTCGCCTACCTGCAGCCGCTCTTGCCGGACCTGCTGGTGCGCCTGCTCGCGCGCCTCATCCTCGGCAGGGCGCTGCGCCAGCTGCATGCGCTGCGCTGGCCCCAGAAGGAGCTGCGCCTCGTGACGCGGGTGAAGCAGCTGGCCGCCGAGGACATCGCCTTCGACACGGCCGCGGCCAATGAGCAGCACTACGAAGTGCCCACGAACTTCTTCCTGCGCTCTCTCGGCCCACGGCTCAAGTACTCCAGCTGTGAGTGGCCGGGCCCCGACGCCACCCTGGAAGAAGCCGAGGCTTTCAGCCTCGCCAAGTATGCCGAGCTCCTGGGCGTGGCCGACGGCCAGCGCGTGCTTGACATCGGGTGTGGCTGGGGAAGCTTCAGCCTCTACGCAGCCGAGCGCTTTCCGAAGGCCACCTTCGTCTGCTTCTCCAACTCCAGCACCCAGATCGCTCACATCAGCAGCGAGGCAGGCCAGAAGAAGCTGGCCAACCTCACAGCCATCAAGATGGACATCAACACGCTGTCACCGGCGGCTCTCGCAGAACGGGGTGTGCCCCCGCCCTACGACCGCATCTTTGCGTGCGAGAGCCTGGAGCACTCGCGCAACTACCAGGCACTGTTTGCCCGAATCTCGGAGATCATGGCGCCCGAGGGGCGGGTCTTCGTGCAAATCCTGGGCCATCGGGAGTGCCTGGACTTGCTTCGCTATCGTTCAGCTGTTTTGGAGTCCGAAGACGCGAACCCCCAAACCCCAAACCCCAAACCCCAAACCCCAAACCCCAAACCCCCAAACCCCAAACCCCAAACCCCAAGGCCCCTAAAGGTACTCATACCTCATGAACGCCAAGTCCTGGATGGGCCGGCGGTTCTTTACCGGGGGGACGATCCCCTCCATGACCTTCTTCCACCACTTCACGGACGACCTTGCTGCTTAATTTTCGGTGAGCAGGGAACTTCGGGCCCTCTTATTCTGCCCCTTAAGGGATGAATTTAGGGTACCTCCTTCCCCTCTTATTATACCCTTTAAGGGATGGTTTTAGGGTACCTCCTTCCCTACTAACCAGCAGTAAGGTTGTGGAGCGCACCGAAGTCGAAGCTTGCCTCTCTTTTTTTTTTTTTTTAAATAGGGTTTAGGGTTTAGGGTTTAGGGTTTAGCTCCGTTTTCAGCTCTTGTGCACCGTGTTGGAGAGGAGTGGAGTCGAAGCACATCTATTGAGGCTTGTGCTGCTTGTGCCAAAGGATCCAAAGCAGGACTATGCAAAAACACGAAGGCTTGTTCTGCAGTGCAACCAAGGTCTCAGGAACCGAATATGCGCGCACTCTTGATGCGTGGCTTCATCTCATGTATGCTGAGCGCACGGAGTGCGAGAAGATCCTTGCGGATGGGGAGACGGCCGCCGTCGGGCGCGCCCGCTTCCAGGAGGGGAGGGGCAAGCTCTTTGATTATGAGTTTTGTGGTTGCGGTGGTACCTTAAACCCTAAACCCCTTATGTTCAGGAGTGGCGCATGTTTTACCTCATGTGCTCGGAAGCCTTTGGGTTTCGCGATGGGCGCGAGTGGATGGTCGGCTACTACATCTTCAAGAGAAGGTTGCTCCGTCTTGGAAGACATTGGACAGGGCTTAGGGTTGAGGGTTTAGGGTTTAGGGATTAGGGTTTTGGGTTTAGGGTTCAGGATTCAGGGTTGGGCCCTGAGCAATGCTCTACGTCCTAAAGCCCTGTCATCGCAGCCCGTACACTTGAAACCTGGGTGACCATTCGGCTTCCTGAAGGTAAAACCCAAATCCGAAAAGCAAGTTGCAAGCCCCTAACCCACATTGCCACTGCATGCTGGTTTCTGCTTGTCACAAGTCGTCCCAACCCCAAGCCCCGTGAACCCTCAACCCTATACCCTAGACCCCAAGCCTATCTCCTAAACCCTACACCATATGTCCCCGAAACCCAAAACCCTAAATCCCAAGCCCCAAACCCTCTGACCCCCCCCGAACCCCGCAACCCGAACCCTCGAGGTGACGCTGTGGCTCGGAAGAGACCAGTTTTGGCATATGTTTCACCCAAGGAGCTCAATACACTCCGATTGCGGTTTGGGTTTCCGGTTGTTTACCGTAAGCTATACGAGGGACCTTGATAAGAGTTTTGATGTAGAATCAAAATCGTGTTTTGGATTCCGCCGGTGTGTACTTGGCATCCGGCTGTGCACAAAGGGATCTTAGTAGAAATCAGGTATATCCCCCAATTGCATCGGTCTTGGGCTTCCCCTACATGCCCTTTTGGGGTACTAGGTCCTTTTCCCAACAGCTGCAGCTGCGGATCGTGGCAGCGGCGTGGTGGACATCGACACAAAAGACCCTAACAACCCCAAACCCTAAACCTCAAACCCTACATGGGTTGAGGGTTTAGGGTTTAAGGTTCAAGGTTTAGGGTTGAGGGGTAAAACCTGTCTTTTGGAGCAGCCGTGCAAGGTTTAAGGTTCAGGGTTTAGGGTGTAGGGTTTGGGGTTTAGGGTTTAGGGCTCCAAATAATATGACTGAAAGTCTATACAGTACCTACAACAAAGAGCAGTTGTAGGTGAGTAGTTCATTTTCAAGAAGCCTCTTATACAACAGAAAAGGCTTGATATAAGCCTCTTGCAAGACTCTTGTATTCGAGGTATGTGCCTGCATCATGCCAGACTGCAAACCCCAAACCCTGCCCTAGGCCTTGAGCCCTGAAAATACCTTCGGGACCAGGATTTGAATAAGGAATCTTCCCTGACCTCCCCTACACCCTAAACCCTAAACCCTAAATCCTAAACCCTAAACCCGGAAAGTTCAACTTCCTGGTACCCTCAAGTCCCTGAGCCCCTAAAGGGTGCCTCCTGGTCGGCCAAGTCCAAGTTTCGGGTTTAAGGTTTCAGGGTTTTGGGTTTATGGTTTGGGGTTTAGGGTTCAGGGAGCTTGATTTGGGGGTTTCCGAAAGTAGGGGGTGCCCTTTTTGGGGGTTCTCTTTTAAGGGCATTCTATTCTTCTACTTTGAGGGGTACTTCCCCATTTTGGGAGATGCTCATGTGAGTTATGCGAAACCTCAACCCTAAACCCTAAACCCTAAACCCTAAACCCTAAACCCTAAACCCTAAACCCTAAACCCTAAACCCTAAACCCTAAACCCTTCTTTGCCCCCGGCTGGGTTCCGAAGCCTTCTGAGGGATTCTCATGGGCCCAGCACAGACAGAAGCCATGGCGCAGCGCTTGTCCAGCGAGCTGGAGCGCGACGACGAGGACAGGGGTTGAGGTTTAGGGTTTAGGGTTTAAGGTTTAAGGGTTTAGGTTTAGGGTTTAAGGGCTGGGGGTTTAGGGTTTAAGGTTTAGGGTTTAGGGTTTTGAGATTTAGGATCCACTTCTAAACCCGAAACCCGAAAACCTGAACCAGTTAATCTCTTATAAACAAAATTTTCTTGGAACCCTAACACCCCAGACCCCCAACCTGAAAGCCCTAAACCCTGAACATTAGCTTTAAACCTGAAATACAGGCACAAGCCTTAAACCCTGGTCCCTAAACCCTACACCCTAGACTTGACACTGACCCATGCCAGCAGGGGAGGCAGGTAAACTCTCTGGCGCAGGGACTCTGGCCAATGCTCCAGCCCCAATGCCCAAACCCAAAACGCAAGCCCTGAAATCCCCCAACACCACCCCCGGCCCTTCGTGCAGCCTCCCGAAACCCCAACCCCAAACCCCAAACCCCAAACCCCAAACCCCAAACCCCAAACCCCAAACCCCAAACCCCAAACCCTAAACCCTAAACCCTAAACCCCTAAACCCTAACCCTAAACCCCTAAACCCTAAACCCTAAACCCGAAAAACCCTAAACCCCAAACCCTAAACCCTAAACCCTAAACCCTAAACCCTACACCCTAAACCCTAAACCCTAAACCCTAAACCCTAAACCCTAAACCCTAAACGCTAAACCCTAAACCCTAAACCCTATACCCGAAACCCGAAACCCCAAACCCTAAACATGTGGCCCGAGGCAGGAGAGGCAGGGCAGAGGAGCTCCTGAGCCCAAACCCCCTAAGAGCCCTAGAAGAACGAGGACGCGGTCCTCGAGACGCCACAGAAGAGCCTCGGGCTTCCTTGCGAAGGGTTTAGGGTTTAGGGTTGAGGGTTTAGGGTTTAGGGTTTAGGGTTTAGGGTTTAGGGTTTAGGGTTACGGGTTACGAGTTTAGGGTTTAGGGTTTCGGAGGGTGCTGGCTCTTGGTTTCGGGACCAGGATTGAGGTGTTCATGACTTACGGTTCTTCTGTATCTTTTTTGCGTTTACAGGGTTGATCAGCTTCCTGGGGCCTTTCTAGGGTTTACAAGGTATTCAGGCTTCACCGGGTTTTTCAGAGAAAAGTGCGGTGTTTTCAGATCTTTCGGTGTTTTCCGGGTTTGCTTCCTGGTGCTTGCCGACTTGCCGAGGGGTTCCTGAGGAGCCTGGCGCTCTGCATGTCCCTTGAAACAAGTTGGTTTACGACAATAAGGGACCCTTAAAAACGGACCCCGGACCCCAAGAAGGTACCCCCCCAATATCGTGTACTTCCCCAAGTGGGGTTTCGGGTTTTCGGTTTTTCAAGCTTTACCGCTGTTTCACCCACAAGCCCTAAAAGCTTACACGCCTTCCGTAGATGCCACGCCCAAAGCGCCCGAACCTTTAAAGGCGGCGGTGCGTGGAGAAGGCGACGCCCCAGAAAGAGCCTTCCCCGCCCGTGGCCCGGCGATGGAAGAGGGTTGATAGACGTGGTTTAGGGTTTAGGGTTTAGGGTTACCAACGAAAGGCATCGCCCCGCCTGTATCTGATGTCACTTCAGGGGGAGTTTGCGGGGTTCCTGCGGAGTTTTGTGTGCTTCTTTTGTGCGGGCTGTTGAGATGTTACTCTGGGTGCATCTTGTTCTTTGGCTGTCCCGGTCCGAAGGTTTGAGGGCCTCCCCTATTCTTTAAAGAAACCCTTAGGCCCACCCCGAGCCCTCGAAGCCCCGGACGCAACAACAGAGGACCGATTGCTGCCCGGCCTGCTAGTGGCGCAGGAGGCTGGCGTCTGAACTCCAAACCCTAAACCTTAAAACCGTAAACCCTAAACTCTAAATCTGGACAGTTGGCGACCCTGGCCAGTGGCCTGCACTAGAAATGGTGCACAGGGTTGAAAAAACCCTAAACCCTAAGCCGCGCCTGCTGTTCAGCGTTGAGGCTTGAAGCTACAGATGCAACAGAGGGGTGTCCCCCAATGGAACTGTGTCCAGTTCCAAAATGAGGCGCTGCCCACCTTTGGTGGATTGCTGGCGGAGATGCTGCGCCTGGGCTCTTTCAATTCTTCGGCATGAGAGGGGGGTGGGGGCCCTGACCCTAAACTTCACCCTCGCAACCCTCCCAACCCGCATCCTAAACCCTAAGCCCTCAACCCTAAACCGAAACCGTAAGCCCTCAACCCCAAGCCCCAAAACCCTCAACCCCTAAACCCCAAATCCGAAGGTGGCAGCTGGAGGGGAAGCACCAAATGCGGGATCTGCACAGCCTCCTGCGCCTTGGTAACCCAGGGATGCCTCGGCGTCAGGGGCCCTAAGCCCTAATCCCTAAACCCTAAAACCCTGCAAACCCTGAACCCTAAACCCTACACCCTAAACCCTAAACCCCAAACCCTAAACCCTAAACCCGCAACCCTCAACCCTAAGCCCTAAACCCTAGACCCTAAACCCTACACCCTATTTTTACGGTTGAGGGGCTTCTGATCCTCACGGCCACTTCGAAACCCTGGCCTGAGGGTTGGGAGGATTCAGGCCTGAAAGGTTGGAACGTTCCTGGGCTTGAAGGTTTAGGGTTTAAGGGCTTCGGGTGGTTTCAGAAAGCCTAAACCTTAGGCCTTGCACCCTCAACACTTGGGTTTGAGGGGTTTGGAGTGTTAGCGCCAGCTTCAAGCGCCCGAGAGGTGCACCTCGAAGACAGCGGAGCGCCCTGGCCAGAGTCCATTGGAAACTTCTTTGTGGTGCTTTACTGTAACTTTAGATCCTTAGCAGCCTTTTTGGGCTTGTTGGGTTTCCCTAGTCAGGCAGCTAGAAATATTATTTATAGCTACCCTCCTAAGTGCAGCCAAGATTTCAGGGTCCAGGGTCGAAGGTCCAGGTTTAGGTCTTGGGGGGTTTAAGGTTTCGAGGTTTCGAGTTCAGGGTTTGAGAGTGCCTGTTGGGAATTTGAACCCTAAACCCTAAACACCCGCAACCCCAAAACCCCAGGTTCTTTGTTTCGCGTTTCCGGTCTGTCTATCAGGATCCTTTGTTGGGTTTAAGGGGTTAGGTTTAGCTGCTCTTGGCCTTAATGCGCCCGAGTGTTTTTCCAGACATCGGTTATCGCAGAGGATCCTAAACCCTACAAAACCGAAATCCTCGGAAAGTTTAGGGTGTTGGCCACCACTGCGCCAACATGCGTGGTGTATTCCCATGGGGCAAGACCAAAACCCTTAACATGGTTCAGCTACATCCTCAGTAATCTTGGGGGCTTTTGAGGGGTTGTGGGACCCAAGTAGGACACTTAAGCCGCAAACCATAAGCCCCAACCCACAGCACCCTGGTTGGGTTTCGGGTTTAGGGTTAGGGTTTAGGGTTTAGGGTTTAGGGTTTAGAGTTTAGGGTTTAGGGTTTAGGGTTGCACCCAAAAAGAGCGTCGATCAAGCTGCTGGGCGTTTTGGGTACGGAGAAATGTTAGAAGAGAGGCCCGAGATACGGGTTTAGGGTTTAGTACCCTAGCCCACGCATCAGTCATCTCCCCCCAAGTCGACCCGCGGAAACCCCCGCAACACCTGGAACTCGAAGCCAAGAGGTCTTTGGGGCCATCGTATCCTGGAGAGTGGGTAAGAAACTCGAAACACTAAACCGCCTAAACCACCTAAACCGCCTGACCCGACTCTACCGGCCAAACCGCCTAAACCGCCTAAACCGCCTAAACCGCCTAAACCGCCTAAACCGCTTAAACCCTAAACCCTAAACCCCTAAACTCGAAACCCTAAACCCCTAAACTATAAACCCTAACCCCTAAACCCCTAACCCCTGAACGCTGCAAGCCCCAGGAAGGCGCTGGTGGTCGGCATCAAGGACTGGATTCTGCACGACTCCGCCCTCATTCCCGAAGTACATTTTTGGGTTTAGGGTTCAGGGCCAGTTTAGGGTTTAGGCTTTAGGGTTGAGGGTTTAGGGTTTAGGGTTTAGGGGATAGGGGTTTAGGGTTTAGGGCCAAAGACCCCGATGGTCATCCCGGGCATGAGATACTTCTTTCAGCGCGGGGAGCCCCTCCTAAACCCTGAACCCTAAACCCTAAACCCTAAACCCTAAACCCTAAACCCTAAACCCTAAACCCTAAACCCTAAACTCTAAACCCTAAACCCTAAACCCTAAACCCTAAACCCTAAACCCTAAACCCTAAACCCTAAACCCTCTGTGACTCGAAGCGAGGAGTTTCGTCTGCAACCCGAGCGCGAGCCATCTTTGGTGTATTCCTATGCGATGATGTGTGACGAAGTCCAGGCGACGGCCCTCGCCTTCCTTAAAGGAGAATTCCTGTGCAGGGCTGCCCCAGACTTCGATTTGGGGTTTAGGGTTTAGGGTTCAGGGTGTAGGGAGTTTAGGGTTCAGGGTTTAGGGGTTAGGGTTTTAGGGTTTAGGGTTTGGGGTTAAGGTATGGGGTTTGGCAATTGTTCTCTGAAACCCTATGAGCAAACTCCCTGAAAGAGTCAAGATTCTAAACCCCGCAGTGTCGGGACATGCAACGACGACCATCGAACCTGAGGAAGTCCTCGTGAACCATCTTACTTATCATTTTGCGAGTGCAGTCGAGCAAAGCGCTCGGTCTCGAATTGAAGCACCTGAAACCCTAAACCCTGAAACCCTAAAGCTCTGAAACCCGGAGGCCCAAAACCCAAAACCCAAAACCCTAAACCCTAAACCCTTGTCCCTTAACCCTGAACCCTAAACCCTAAACCCTAAACCTCAAACCCTAAGCCCTACTTTCCTAGCTCCAAGACCTGAGCACCTAAAGTTGACAACCTTATAGGGGAAGAATTACTAATAGTATTCCCTTAGGGTCCTGGTCCCTGTCTACATGTGCTACAATAATTCTAGTTGTTAAGGCTCCTTTTTTAACCCCCAAAGCCGCAAACCCCTCAATCTGACAACCCCTAGAACCTTCAATCCCACACCCTGCAACCTTGAACCCTACAACCCTATACCGCTAAGTTTTAAAGTCGGGTTTCGGGTTTAGGACCGAAGTTGCCAGAACCAGTAAGCCCTAAACCCTACAAACCCTACAAACCCTACAAACCCTACAAACCCTACAAACCCTACAAACCCTACAATGCAAACCCTACAAACCCTACAAACCCTACAAACCCTACAAACCGTACAATGCAAACCCTACAAACCCCTCAGCCCTAAACCCTAAACCCTAAACCCTAAACCCTAAACCCTAAACCCTAAACCCTAAACCCTAAACCCTAAACCCTAAACCCCACATGCAACACCCCCCCCCCCCCGCCCCCCCCCCCGGAAGCCAACCTCTGTATGGGGAGGCCTTGCACAAGGCCGCCTGGGCCCGGAGCCGACAGCTGCGCCTGGTCACCACCGCCCCTTGGGGGGGCGTTTAGGGTTTAGGGTTTAGGGTTTAGGGTTTAGGGTTCACGGTTTAGGGTTTAGGGTTCAGGGTTCAGGGTTTAGGGTTTAGGGTTTAGGGCAACTTGCTCTGCACCTTCTATAGGAATCGAAAGAACGGATAAGTGCACAATGCCGTATTTACGAATATCAAGAAATGACAAGCATGTGATGTAGTAGCGTCTTTGTGTCTTTTCATGTGCGAAAAATCTTCTTGTTTTGGATGAGCCGACAAGGCTACAAGGGTTTTGGGTTCGGATTCCGTATGTCTGCGCTTGTAAGCCCTTAGTTTCCCTAGGGTTTAGGGTTTAGGGTTTAGGGTTTAGCGTTATAATTGGTTTATAAGTGCAGGTACTATTTGTGCAGTAAGTGCCAAGAACCTCCAAGTATCCCTTGCAGCCAAGGAGCAGGCGGACAGGCGTGCCGCCATGGCCATCGTGCGCGCCTTTTTCTGAGCACGCCGCCTGGGGGTGCTTGGGTTTGAGGTTCATCCCGGTCTTAGATCCCTAAACCCTAAACCCTAAACCCTAAACCCTAAACCCTAAACCCTAAACCCGAAACCCTAAACCCTAAACCCTAAACCCTAAACCCTAGGACATGCGGAGAACTTTCACAAGGCGGGGCTCCGAGCCAACTAAGCCAACCTGGGGGGGAAGTGTACCTAACATCATAAGAATCCAAGCACCGTTTTCTCCTCTCCATAGATACTTGAGGCAGAGCTTGAGAGGGTTTAGCAATGGTGCTCCAGCTCCCCCTAAACATGCTTTGGGAGGAGCCCCGGTCCTGTTAGGGTTTAGGGTTTAGGGTTTAGGGTTTAGGGTTTAGGGTTTAGGGTTTAGGAGATGTTTCACACTCTGGGGGAAGACGTCGGAGGTAGGATTCTGCTGTGAGGAGGGGAGTGCGACGCAAGAGTCCTCTGGGTTTGGGGGGTTCAGGGTTCAGGGTTCAGGGTTCAGGGTTTAGGGTTTAGGGTTTAGGGTTTAGGGTTTAGGGTTTAGGGTTTAGGGTTTAGGGTCTCTACTTAGAGGCAAGTGGTTGCTCTCCCTGCTTCAGGCAGAGGGGTCGAGCAGTGGCCTGAACCGCACTCCATCCCTAAACCCTAAACCCTAAACCTTAAACCCTAAACCCTAAACCCTAAACCCTAAACCCTAAACCCTAAACCCTAAACCCTAAACCCTGAACCCTGAACCCTGAACCCTGAACCCTAAGCCCTAAACCCTGAACCCTGAACCCTAAACCCTCGTGGGCTTGAGATCTGGGGGCCGAGCAACCTCTAAAGGCCTCGCTTTCCGAAAACCTGTGCTATTTCAGGCCGCTGTCATCTTGACACACTGCCAGCAGTGTGTGGGGGGGAGTGAAAAAAGGTTGCGTTGACCCCTGCAAGCCCCTCAGCCCCCTAAACCCTCGACCCCCTAAAACCCCCAAACTCGAGGAAACCTGCATGGGTCTCACGGAGCAAGACCACTTGAGGTTTTGGAGTTGCAGAATTTTTTGGGGGGTTTTTCGGGTTTAGGGTGTTGGGTGATTGGCTCCTTCCAGTGTGTTGGGCTTCTCCGTTCCTGCGGAAGCCCTCAAGCCCCAAAAACCATGAAGCCAAAACCCCAAACCCCAAACAACCCTAAACCCTAAACCCTAAACCCTAAACCCTAAACCCTAAACCCTAAACCCTAAACCCTAAACCCGGCCCCAAAACCCCGGATGCCCCCCACGGTGGTTGTTGTCTGCAGTGGGCCCAGGGGATGAAGTTTCATGATTCATGCGCGCCACCCGAACCCCAGGGATGAGGTGTTCGGGATGTAGGTAGCCCTAAACCCTAAACCCTAAACCCTAAACCCGAAAACCCTAAACCCTAAACCCTAAACCCCAAACCCCAAACCCTAAACCTTAAACCCTAAACCATAAAGCCTAGCCCTAAACCTTACACCGCCTACCATCCGGGACCGAAACTCGGCCGCACCCGCACCATGCCACGAGCATGGTTGGCGTTGGTCAGCTGCCCGGAATGGTAGCTTTTGAGCCCGATTGAACATCCTAGAACCCTAAACCCTAATCCCTAAACCCTAAACCCTGGCACCCAAAACCAGGGGCATGAGACGGATTTGAGTGAAGATACTTGCGGCAAGGGGTTCTAGGTTTTAGGGTTTAGGGTTTTTGGTAGGACTGAACCCTAAACCCTAAACCCAAAACCCTAAGCCTAAATTTAGGGAACTGGCCGCGCACGCGGTGCTAGTAACCACCCCCCAAACCTTAAGCCCCTAAACCCTGAGCCCTACTAAACCCTAAACCCTAAACCCTAAACTCTAAACCCTTAACCCTCACCCCTGACCCCGAGACCCACAAAACCCTCAACCCGAAACCCTGAGCAACCGAACGCCAACTGAGATGCTTGCGGGCTGGTTGCTTCGCGCCCTTGCCGGCGCAGATCAGTCCGAGGCCGGGGGGCCCCTGAGAGGAGTCTTCAGGGTCTAGGGTTTGGGGTTTGAGGATCTGGGGTTTAGGGTTTAGGGCTAGGGTTTAGGGTTTCGGGTTTAGGGTTTCGGGTTTAGGGTTTAGGGTTTAGGGTTTAGGGTTGCAAGGTTGCAGTCCCCACATTCGCGGGAACATCAAAACCCCAGTGAGCCCTTGATCCCTGAAGCCCAAGCTCTGCATCCCTTCCACCAGCCCAACGCAAGGGGTACAGAGGGTTCAGGGTTTAGGGATTAGGGTCTAGGGTCTAGTGTTTAGGGTTTAGGGCTTAGGGTTTAGGGTTTAGGCTTTAGGGTTGAGGGCCACCAAGCCCCACACCTCAGGGTTTGGGCCTAATCCCCCCCCCAACCCCCCACAACCTAAGCCCTAAACTCACGACCCCCCCCAAAAAAAAACACAGACAGATTTCTTTAACCGAAAACAACTAACTCAACCTGCACTTACATCAGCAAATAAAGAAAAATGTATGAATAAATGTATATATATATATTCTTAAATAGAAACAGCATATGTCTATAAATAAATAAATAAATAAATATATATATATATATGTATGTATGTATGTATGTATGTATGTATGTATGTATGTATGTATGTATGTATGTATGTATGTGTGCACACAGACATATCCAGGAGGGCGCCGCGAGCCTGCTTCAGCTCCGGCGCGGGGCCGCGGCCCTGGGCTCGGGGGCGCTCCTGGGGCGCCTGGGGGAGCTGAGCGCCAGCTTGCGGGAGGCCCTCCGGGCAGGTGAGGGGTTTCGAGGGTTTCTGGGCTTTCTGGGGGGGGGTTTCTGGGGTTTCTGAGGGTTTCTGAGGGTTGGGGTTTGGGGTTTCGGGTTTTTGGGCTTCGGGTTTAGGGCTTGTTTGTTGATTTGGGGGGGGGGGGTGTGGGGTGGGGGTTCAAGCTTGAATGACAAGCCCTCAAGCACTAAATCCTAAACCCAGAAAGCCTCCCAAACACCATAACAACCTTGCAGCAACTTGAAATCAACCGAGAGTAACAAAAGTCCTTGAATAGCCGCGCGAAGCGTAGTCTCTAAGCCTATACGACCCCTAAACCCTAAACCAGCCTACAAGAACCCCAAACCGAAAACCCTAAACCGTATAAGAACCATAAACCCTAAACCCTATATGCACCCTAGACCCTAAACCCTTTATGAGCCCTAGAATCAACCAAAGGCGCGGAGCAGCGTGGCCCTCGGCAACGGCACCGCCAGCCTCGACTCGCTACAGGCGAAAAAGGGTTTGTGGGCGACGTAGGGGGTTTAGGGTTTAGGGTTTGCTTGGGCTTAGGGTTTTGGGGTTGAGGGTTTGGTGTTTTGGGTTTGGGGTTTAGGGCTTACAGTTTAGGGGATGTGTAGGGTTGTTGCAGCGTTGTGATGGTGTTTGCGGCATGTGTTCAGACGGTTTACAATAATGCTATCCAGTCTTTCAACCTGTTGGGTAACCCGGCGGCGTAGGGTTCAGGCTGTGAGCAAGTTGATGACATACAAGATACAATAGCCGATGCACAAGAAGAGCCCGTAGGAAGGTTGACCGATTTAGTGGCCTGAGCTCAGGGTTTAGACGAATGGTTGGTGCCACGCGTGGATTTCGGGCATCAAAGTGGGCTTTAGGGGGCATCCTAAACCCTGAACTCTCAAAGCCCCTGCAGGAGGAGCTCGATGTTCTGAAGAGCTACGTCGTTCTTGTGGATGTCGCCGCGGTGGAGACTCGGGGCGGTTTCCCTATTATCATTGAAAGTTTTCGGGCTTAGGGAGCACATGACATGGAGCCCTCAACCCTGAAGCCTAGACCCTAGACCCTAGACCCTAGACCCTAGACCCTAAACCCTAAACCCTAAACCCTCAGCTAAACTCGACGCCCGAAACCCTGTGCAGTTTCAGGTATGTTGCGTAAGGGAAGAGGTGCTGGGCGTTTCGGGGTAGGCCCCAAGAGCCCTGGACCGGCGCCGCGCCATCAAATAGAAGCGGGAGTCCCTCACTAGATGTAGTTGGGGTTTAGGGTTTAGGGTTTATAGTGGCGACCCAGCAGTTAGAATATATATTTTTTTTTGGCGTTTACCCTCCGCCCAGTACATTTTTAAATTTTTTCAAAAAAAATTTACCATCGCGCAAAACTAGCAGTTAGAATATTGTTTTTCCAGAACTAGCAGTTAGAATATTTCCAGAACTAGCAGTTAGAATATTTCTTGGCCAAAACTAGCAGTTAGAATGTTTTTCAGAAATTGCAGTCCTTTTTCTCTTTATATCATCGAAACCCTAAACCCTAAACCAGAACCCTAAACCCTGTATATATAAACGCAAAACCCAAAACCCTATACCCCACACCACACGGGGCAGGGGGGGGGGGGTATATGCACTTATATATACCGGGTCCGGTATATGCTGGACCGTGGTGTGCCTACACTTCCGGGTTCGATGAAAGCTCCGGACCGTGGTTTATACATAATTAGATATATTCATATGCAGAACACGAATATACCGGGTCCGGTGCATGCTGGCCCGTGGTGTGCATACACTTCCGGGTTCGGTGAAAGCTCCGGACCGTGGCTTAAGCATATAGACATATACATAACACTTATATACCGGGTCGAGTATATGCTGGATGCATACACTTCCGTGAAGAAGGCCCCAACCCCCCTGCCGCCAGAAATATTCTATCTGCTGGTTCTGCAAGGAGCCGTGAAGGCCAGGAGAAGGCCCCAACCCCCCTGCTTCCAGAAATATTCTATCTGCTGCTTGTGCAAGGAGCCGTGAAGGCCAGGAAGGCCTGAAAGAGCCCTGGAGAAGGCCCCAAACCCCCTGCCCCCAGAAAAAACCTATGTGCTGGTTCTGCAAGGAGCCGTGAAGGCCTGAAACTGGAGAAGGCCCCAACCCCCCTAAGAAATATTCTATCTGCTGGTTCTGCAAGGAGCCGTGAAGGCCAGGAAGGCCTGAAAGAGCCCTGGAGAAGGCCCCACCCCCCCTGCCTCCAGAAATATTCTATCTGCTGGTTCTGCAAAATATTCTATCTGCTGATTCTGCAAGGAGCCGTGAAGGCCAGGAAGGCCTGAAAGAGCCCTGGAGAAGGCCCCAACCCCCCCGCCCCAGAATATTCTATCTGCTGGTTCTGCAAAAAGCCGTGAAGGCCTGAAAGAGCCCTGAAGAAGGCCCCAACCGCCCTGCACCCAGAAATATTCTATCTGCTGGTTCTGCAAGGAGCCGTGAAGGCCAGGAAGGCCTGAAAAGGCCCCAACCTCCCTGCCCCCAGAAATATTCTATCTGCTGCTTGTGCAAGGAGCCGTGAAGGCCAGGAAGGCCTGAAAGAGCCCCAACCCCCCTAAGAAATATTCTATCTGCTGGTTCTGCAAGGCCAGGAAGGCCTGAAAGAGCTCTGGAGAAGGCCCCAACCCCCCTGCCAGCAGAAATATTCTATCTGCTGGTTCTGCAAGGAGCCGTGAAGGCCAGGAAGGCCTGGAAAGAGCCCTGAAGAAGGCCCCAACCGCCCTGCCCCCAGAAATATTCTATCTGCTGGTTCTGCAAGGCCGTGAAGGCCAGGAAGGCCTGAAAGAGCCCTGGAGAAGGCCCCAACCGCCCTGCCCCCAGAAATATTCTATTTGCTCATTCTGTTTTCGGAGCCGTGAAGGCCAGGAAGGCCAGGAAGGCCTGAAGACCCCTAGAAATAGTCTAGCTGCTGGTTCTGCAAGCAGGAAGGCCTGAAAGAGGCCTTCGGTGAAAGCTCCGGACCGTGGTTCCCTCTAGGGCCCGCAGTGGTACCCTTATTTCTTTCTTAAGGCTTAGCTGCTCAACCATGACCCTGAACCCTAAACCCTATAAACCCTAGGAGTATATACATCGTGGAGATTGGAGAGAAATCACAGCCGGACCTGACCCCGAAGCAGACACGCGTCTATGCCTCGACCCTCTAAGGCTCTGCAACTCTGCGCCCTGTTCTCCAAATTGGGGAATACCCTTTTTGGGGAGTTCGGGCCCAGGGTTCAGGGTTCAGGGTTCAGGGTTCAGGGTTCAGGGTTGAGGGTTTAGGGTTTTAGGGTTTAGGGTTAGGGAGGTAAGGTAGGGAGTTCGGGGTCAGGGTGTTAGGCTATCAGGGTATTAGGCTATTTCCCAGCGTCCATTTGTAGCACGACAATGCATTAGGCAACGAAGGCCCTTTTTAGCATGGCTTGCAGCTTGCGGTTTCGAGTTCCAGAAGACTCCAAGCCGTAAACCCCTTTTAGGTTTGTCCAAGAAATATTTTAACTGTTAGTTTTGGCCAAGAAATATTCTAACTGCTAGTTCTGGAAGAATAATATTCTAACTGCTGGTTCTGGAAAACAAATATTCTAACTGCTAGTTTTGGCCCGAGGGTAAAATCTGGCCGTTTACCCTCCGCACCACAAATATTCTAACTGGTCCCTGCCCGTTTTCCAATATTCTAACTGCTAGGTCGCCCCTCTAGGGTTTAGGGTTTAGGGTTTTGGGTTTAGGGTTTAGGGTTGCATAAATGACGATCGTTCTTCCATCTCACCCTCTACCCCAAACCGGAAATCTTCACCCGCACGGGAAGGGGGCACGAGCCGAATTCGACCATGGAATGCGCGTGGGACGTACCCCAACTGAGGTGAGAGTCAATTTCAATAGACGTCACGCGGTCGTTCCCTTCCCTCGCGTAAATCCAGCAAAGATCAAGTTGCACACCTCCAACCCCTGAATGACTAGGAGCCAAGAAACAGCGAAGCCAAACCAGTATCCCATACAAGTGAGCACGTGCACGATTTGGCTTTGCTCGGGGCGATTTTGTGCCGAGAGGACATGGAGATAAGCAGGCTCTTGTTGAGGCACTGCAATATTCCTTTGAGGCAAAGCCCTAAACCTGTAACCCTAAACCCTAAACCCTAAACCCTACTAAACCCTAAACCCTAAACCCCGCAAGAAAGGAGAAGCTTCGGAGTGGGATCGCCCAGTGCAACGCAGCATTCCGAAGCGCGCAGGAAGGAGAGGGCGGCGTGAACAGCCCCTGGGTCTTATTTTGGAGATTTTTAGGGTTAGGGGTTTAGGTTTAGGGGTTTAGGGGTTTAGGGGTTTAGGGATTTAGGGGTTTAGGGGTTTAGGGGTTTAGGGGTTTAGGGGTTTAGGGGTTTAGGGTTTAGGGGTTTAGGGGTTTAGGGGTTTAGGGGTTTAGGGGTTTAGGGGTTTAGGGGTTTAGGGGTTTAGGGGTTTGGGGGTTTAGAGGCTTCGGGGTTTAGGGGTTTAGGGGTTTAGGGGTTTAGGGGTTTAGGGGTTAGGGTGTAGGGTTTCGGGTTTCCCTGGAGAGGGGCGCTGGTGTGAGGTTCAACTAGGGTTTGGGGCTCAGGGTTTAGGGTTCAGAGATATTCTGGGTTTAGGGTTTAGGGTTTAGAGATATGTAGGGTTTTCGGTTCAGAGATATTCAGGATTTAGGGTTTGGGGTTTGAGGTTTAGTGTTTAGGGTTTGGGGTTTAGGGGTTTAGGGTTTGGAGATATTCAGGGTTTAGGGTTTAGGGATGTTTAGTTCGGGTGTGAGGTTTAGTGTGTAGGCTTTAGGACGCATACTGGTCTCAGGGATCTTAATTCAGGAGCCGAAATAATTGCCACTGTCATCCCTTTCGATCCAGATCCGTCTCTATGTAACTTCGGCCGCCAAAGAAACTGCAATAGACCCGAAACCCCTAAACCCTAAATCTAAAACTCTAAGCCCTTCGAAGCATTTTTGGGCCCCAAACCCCGCACCCCACAAACCTGAATCCTAAACCCGGCACCCGAATGCCGTAAACCCCTAATATTCTGAAGCCCTCAACTCCTTGTACCCCTAAACCTTAAACCCCTGTGAAAATCTGCTTGTTTTACTCCCTGTACAGAGTAGCCGAGGTCACATCTCCTTATGTTGCCCCCTTGACTTTGTGTGTACTCCGCAACCGTTTAGTCTTGAGCTCATCCTTTAACGCCAAAAAGTGTCCTACGCAGTTGCTGCTCGTCACGATCCCAATCCCAAAACCCAAAACCCTAAACCCTAAAACCCCTAAACCCCTAAACCCCTAAACCCCTAAACCCCTAAACCCCTAAACCCCTAAACCCCTAACCCCCTAAACCCCAAACCCCAAACCCTGGAACCCCCTCAGGCTCGGAAGCCGCCATGCGCCAGGCCGAGGCGCGCCACGACGCCTGCAGGGCGCAGGCGACGACACCCCCGCCATCCCAGGAGCCAGGGGTTTGGGGCATGAGAACGGCACCACAAGACACCGTGCCTTGTAAATAGTACACCACAAACACAGTAGACCAGAAAGTTGCGGGGCGCAGAATCTGCGAAGATATACGAAGACTCACGCCCCCCCCCCCCCCCCCCAACCATCCCAGGAGCCCGGCCGCCCTTCGCACCACCGATCGCGCCACTGGGGCTGCGTGCGGAAGCCCTGGAGGCGACCCTGGGCCAAACCCAAGTGGCTCTGTGGCCACACCTTGCTGGACGAGACGGGCGAGGGAGGGAAGGAGGCGTGGAGGCGCGCGGCGCGCGCGGCGGCCGCGAGGCGCAGGCCCGGCTGCGACGGCCTCCAGCGCGAGCTCGAGTCGGCGTTTTGCGCGTTCCGCGCGAAGCTGATCGGCGCCTCCCTCGAGCTGGAGAAATGCCGCTTGAGCTTGGAAAGGAGGATGTCAGAGTTAGGGGTGTCGGAGGAGCTGCTGAGGAGGGCTCATGATTGGCAAGCACGGGCCTTCATTGCGGAGACCCGGGCGCAGTGCTTCGTCGAGTCTTTGTCCTCCAGCTCCAACTCCACTCGCTGCGAAGACTTGCCGGTCGACACCTCCCATCTCGAGATGCCGTTCCCGCAGCTTGCAACCTGCAACACCTCCTCCGTGGCTGCCTATCCCTGCGAATCCGCTTGGCTCCAAGAGTGCCTGGGCACGGCACGTGATTTTGGGAAGCTTTTCTTTCGGAGAACTGGCCGTCATCGGGCCATTCGTGTTTAGGATCATGGGGTTTGGGGGTGTTAAGGCCTTCCCTAAACCCTAAACCCTAAACCCTAAACCCTAAACCCTAAACCCTAAACCCTAAACAATAAACCCTAAACCCTAAACCCTAAACCCTAAACCCTAAACCCTAAACCCTAAACCCTAAACCCTAAACCCTAAACCCTAAACCCTGAACCCTAAACCCTAAACCCTAAACCCTAAGAGGGGCTCCCGGCTCCCCCGCATTCTGGGGGTGCAGGTACTACGGCCGCAAGGCCTGGCACCCATCTGCTCGCCCGGCCGCCTGCACGCCCTGCCCGGCCCTACCGGGCGGCGGGTGATCGCGCCCTAAACCCTAAACCCTAAAGCCTAAACCCTAAACCCTAAACCCTAAACCCTAAAGCCTAAACCCTAAACCCTAAACCCTAAACCCTGAACCCTAGACCCTGAAACCCCTAAATCCCAGAAGCAATGGAAAGTGATACTTTGGCACTGATTCAATCCTGAAGGCCCAAGCTCCATGCCCGATTGAGCCCCTAAAGAGCCCTAAGGCGCCTAGGGCCCTGAACCCTAGACCCTAAACCCTGAACCCTAAACCCTAAACCTTAAAGCCTAAAGCCTAAACCCTAAACCCTAAACCCTAAACCCTAGATCCAACGTGTGCCCTGAAATCAAAGCACCAAACTTGGGAGGCCCATCCATGTGGCATGTCGGAGGGATTTTCGGGGTTGGTCCCTCCAACGTGTACCACACCTACGACCCGAGGTTTAAGGTTTCAGGTTATTTAGGTTTCAAGGTTGGGCCGGAGTGGTTCGGGCAGCAGAGCACTTAGACTTAAACCCTGAACCCTACGTTGGGTGAAGAGTTGATGGCCCTACCGTTCCCCCCCCAAGAAAGCTTAGTCAGTTGGAGGATGTTGCTACAGGCCCGAAGGGCCATGGAGCCATTTAAGTTTCCGAGGAAAGGGTGGGGCCGCGGAACTCCGCCCTTCAAAAAGCGCGAGTGGGCCTGCATGGCTGTGGCTCTGTTGCTTTTGTTGGTGCCCCGTCGGTAGAAAGCCTGGGTTCTCTTGGTTTGTACCCACTGGAGACATTGGAGTTGTGAACGAACCGCCTGGGCGTTTGTATCCTGCCAGTTGCAGTTAGCATGCTTGGCTTGTTTAGGGCGCGTTCAGAAAGTGACCCTACAGGAGACACAGGGCTTGCTTTCGCACAGCGCACGCCACACAGCACGTGAGTCAGTAGTAGAGCTGGGGCGAAGTGCTAGCCATGGCGCCTGTGTTTACATGCAGCAGTACCATCCTGTTGCTGGGCTAAAGTTCAGCCACGTTTCGAGAATCTGGGCATACAGCAGACAGCAGACAGTCTAGCTTTTTTCGGAAACTTCGTCTGCGCTCCTTCCTCCCCAACACCCTAAACCCTAAACCCTAAACCCCAAACCCCAAACCCCAAACCCTAAACCCTAAACCCTAAACCCTAAACCCTAAACCCTAAACCCTCCACATTAACGGCAGCCCAGGTTTCTGGATCTCATTGCAGCTGTGGCGGGCAACACGTGGACCCAGCTCTCGCCTCCAAGCGGACCCACCGGCCGAGGCTTCGAAGGGTAGGGTTGAGGGTTGAGGGTTGAGGGTTTAGGGTTTAGGGTTTAGGGTTTAGGGTTTAGGGTTTAGGGTTTAGGGTGTAGGGTTTAGGGTTTATGGTTTGGGGTTTAGGGTTTAGGGTTTGAGGGTTTGTGGTTTGGGGTTTATGGTTTAGGGCTTCGGGCATGGGATCTTAAAACGGGTACCCCCTTTTTCCCCCTTCTGTACCCTGTACGAATTCAGGGCCCATGCATCAGGGCCTAAACCCTAAACCCTAAACCCTAAGCGCTGAACCCTACATGTCACTACCCTTAGAAGGCCGCCACGCAATGGTGTGGGACGCAGTGTCTTGTTTGGTGGAGAGGAGCAGGGGACTTGGGTCTACCAGATACTGGGTTGCTGTTCAGGACCCTATATTAAGCTACCATAGCAATGGAAAAAACGGCATGATTGAATACTATGATGATGCAAATTGAGGCTCCTTAATCAGCACAAACCCTGACCCTAAACCCTGAACCCTAAACCCTGAACCCTGAACCCTGAACCCTGAACCCCAAAACCTAAACCCTAAACCCTAAACCCTAAACCCTAAACCCAAAACCCAAAACCCAAAACCCAAAACCCAAAACCCTAAACCCTAAACCCTAACCCCTAAACCCTAAACCCGAAACCCAGGAACGACGTGAACTTCTACAGCGTGAGCTTGAACACGTGGACATTGAAGTCGCCGACCGGAACCGCACCTGCTGGTCGACACATGCTCACTGCGGCTTGGCAGCCCAGTGGTACCCTGTACCTTTTTTTGAAACCCTAAACCCTAAACCCTAAACCCTAAACCCTAAACCCTAAACCCTAAACCCTAAACCCTAAACCCTAAACCCTAAACCCTAAACCCTAAACCCTAAACCCTAAACCCTAAACCTAAACCCTAGACCCTTTCTTTAGGTTGCTTGGTTATGGGTTCATATACCTTAACTAGGGGGGGGATTATAACAGTCTTGGGAGCCCACTGGTACCCTTTACCCTTTTTTTGGATATGGGTTCCCTTACAAAATAACCAGCTGGGTTACCAAGGCAGTCTTGCGGACGCCGCAGAGGAAGATGTACATTTTCGGTGGGGGGTTCCGCGGCTATCACAGCTCGAATGCCGACGAACTCTACAGCGACTTGTTTTCCTATGACCTGGCTACAGACGCCTGGACTCAGCTCACTTCTTACACAAGTCCTCGCGCACTCCATTCGGCCGTTTGGGACACACAGTCGGATCAGATGATTGTATACGGCGGGGAGGCAGATGATGCTTCGAAAACGAAGTTTGGTGACTTGTTGGAGTACGATCCGGGTTTGGACTCATGGAGTGCTCCTGCGTTAGGCACCGTGCCGGCAGCACGGAAGGAGCACTTGGCTGTGTGGGATTCGAGCTCGCAAGTGATGCTGATGTGCTGTGGATATGGAACAGCTTACCTCAATGACTTGTGGAGCTACTCTGACGGCTCAGGATGGGTTCAGCTGGCGCCGTCGGGCAGCTTTACTGCACGAATGAGCGTCCCCGGCATCTGGGATGCAACAACTGGATCGCTTGTGGCATATGGCGGGTATAATTCTGGCGGCGAGATGGACTCGATGTTCTCCTACTCGAGCACGACCGACAGTGTTTATGAGTATACTGTTTCGGGGCCAGGTTCTCGCGATGCGCACAGCATGGTTTTTAACCCCGCTGCTGAGGAGATGTACATGTACGGAGGATGGGTTGGCTCAAGCTTCGAGAACATATTGTGGAAGTTCAGTGGTACCCATACCTCGGTCACCACTACTTCCAGTATCTCGACAATGAGTTCGATAACCTCCAGCAGCAGTACATGGACAAGCAGCTCCTCCACCGTGTCATCCACAAGCGTCACAGGCAGCTCCACGTCCGAAACAACTTCCAGTAGTACCACCTCGTGGAGCAGTAGCAGAACCTCCACCAGCAGCTCAATATCTGAAACAACCTCCAGCAGCTCTACCACGAGGAGCAGCAGCCCCACCAGCACCTCCACATCTGAAACAAGTTCTCGTAGTACTACCTCGAGGAGCAGCAGCAGGACATCTACAAGCAGCTCCATGTCTAGAACAACTTCCAGTAGCACTACCACGTGGAGCAGCAGCAGCAGCAGCAGCAGCAGTAGCAGCAGCCGCAGCAGCAGCGGAACATCCACAAGCAGCTCTCTCTCTGAAACAACATCCAGTAGTACTACATCGAGGAGCAGCAGCACGACAAAGTCCTTCAGCACTTCGTCGACGACAAGCTGCTCGTCTTCCGTCACTGCCAGTGCCACGACGGATACATCCAGTGTGACGCCAACATTGTCGAGCTGGACACCTCAAAAGCCCTAAGCCCAAAACCCTAAACCCTAAACCCTAAACCCTAAACCCTAAACCCTAAACCCTAAACCCTAAACCCTAAACCCCAAACCCTAAACCCTCACCAAGAGCAACCCCGGAGTCTTTGAGCAACCCGGAGCTGTTGCAAGTCACGGCCCTGCAGGACACAGACTGTCACGTCCACTACATCTGGCGCAACGACTTCCACTAGCTCAGGCCGGGTTTAGGGTTTAGGGTTTAGGGTTTAGGGCTTAGGGTTTCACTCCTCGGTTGCCGGGCAAGCTCGCTGTAGTGTTTTTAGAGTCACGGCAAGAACAAGCCAACACGGGGGAATCATCCGCAAACAGTCGCCAACATGTTCCCAAGGGCCCTCCTTCCGTCGGTAGCCTTTGGAAGCGGATCCTTGTGAAACAGGGCGACTTGTACCCGTAGCTGCTGAACGATAGGGGGGTTGCTGTCTGTTTGCGCGGCAAGCAGCCGTGCGGGAAGCCACATAGCCGATGCCCTTATTCTAAGATCGATGGACACCGACTTTTGCTTGGCCTCTGAGTTTTGTTTTGAGTGTGACAGGCTCTGGCATGAGGCGCGCGTTGGGTTGTTTTTGGGGGGGCCCTAAACCTAAACCCTAAACCCTAAACCCTAAACCCTAAACCCTAAACCCTAAACCCTAAACCCTAAACCCTAAACCCTAAGTCCTAAACCCTAAACCCTAAACCCTAAACCCTAAACCCTAAACCCTAAACCCTAAACCCTTGGAGCCAGCCCTCAGGATGCTTTGGAGGCTCTCGCGCAGGCGGAGCAAAGTGTGGTGGAAGTGACTCGGCTCAATCAGGAGTCCTGGGAGGCCCATCGTCCCGCCTAGGGTTTAGGGTTTAGGGTTTAGGGTTTAGGGTTTAGGGTGATTTGAGTGCACGGCCCTAAATCCAAAACCGAGACATATGTGGGAGCTGCATGGGTCTGAGGAAGTGCGTATGCGTAGATATCGTACATGGGCTACCCTGCTTCCCAGAGAGGGCCAAAGGGTCGTAGTTGTAGCAGTGGCTGTGTGAGCAGGGCATGCTAGACGCTTTACAGTCGGTGAGTCACAGCGCTTCGAAAGCTGTACTTGGAGCTTCATGGGAACTTATACCCACAATTATGAGTCTATACATCTACTCATAACCTACTTAGGGGACGGAGGGGGCTTGTCAGTACAGTTATGGTTGGGGTTATAGGTACCCTGAACCTCCAAGTACCAACTGCGGCCAAAGAGGTCAGAGCATTGTGGAGTCACTCTACCCAACAGGTGGAGGTATTAGGGTTTAGGGTTTAGGGTTTAGGGTTTAGGGAGCCCATGTTTGGAGCAAGGAAAGGATCACACCAACGTCAGGGTTTCCGAACACACAGGGTGCCCCT